ACGTCCAAGTACCAATCAAATAAATCATAGATTACTCTTTACATTTCTTATTTATCTTAGAGACGCATATATCTGTCCTCTTTTATTGAATAAATAAAATAAAAATCATGTCAATCGGTCGCTCCGTTTCGAAATCAAAGTAGACACAAACAAAGAAATAAAAAGGCAACAGACACACTTTCGCATTTTAATAGTTATTAGTATTCCTAGATAAGTAATTTTCGTAGATAATAGACCGCGGGCAACCATGTTTTAACAAGTTGTTGTTAAATAACCCGATTTGTGCATTCCTGTATTAATCGGCTATTTCATAGAATACTTTTACTTACTTTTTAGTACGATTGAGCGTCGAATGAGATAAACGAGTTTACGCATGTTTATCTTATTCCTGTCGGTGCGTGCTGCTTATGCAGTCCTATGTGAACAACGTATTATTTATTGTATTTTTATTTGCGGTTTCGCGCGTAATAGATAAGCAGTACTTAAGTTCGACACTTACTTACGTATTTCTCAAAACCAAACAATGTCGGAAGTAAAAAAAAAGGGACGGCAATACTGTGCGGAATATATTAAATTCGGATTCATTGAAAATCCCACAAACCCATTGTCGCCCTCTATGTCTAAAAACATTTTCGGATGAAGCAATGAAGCTTCAAGACTGCAAGATCATTTGAATAAAATGTATCCAGATCAGGAAGAAAAGAATGTAGCATATTTTCAAGACCTAGAGAAGAAGCATAATACTCAGCTAAGTGTAGCGAAACTATTTTCGGCGGCTGCTAAGCAAGATGACGACGGACTTCGAGCTTCGTACAATATCTCTTTGTTGATTGCTCATAAAGGCAAACCACAACATCGGAGAAGAGTTAATTTTGCCAGCAATAAAGGAAGTAATAACTACAGTGCTTCATAAACCGACCGCAGATATTATCCGATAAAATCCTTTGGTAAATACTGTATTTGTTATTAGTTGTCTGTGTTCATTTAAGGTTAAGGCACCTGGCGCCCGAGATTATTAGCTTTGTTAGAATTTGTGGTGCCGCACCCGTTAGTTTATTCATTTATATGAACATAGACACGCATTAGATTACATTCACATTAAAAAACATTATTTTTTTAAATTTTTAATATTACAATTGTCGCCAGCGCTCAGGGACTGAAGTGGTGTCTGTAGGCTAATTAGATAACTATTTAGATACTGTCGTTACTGCATTCTACTTTTGTATTACTTAACTTGGGTATTATTTACTTTGTAATTTTGTGACATTTGTGTTAACATTTAAGTGAGGTTATATTCACAATTTTTCAACATTTGTTTACAACATTGTGACTTTTTTCACAATGTTATTTTTGCTTTAACTAAACAACAATAATTTGAGTTATTCTGCTGCCTATTGTATTCTCAATTAAGGGTATAGTTACTTGATCATTTTGTTTTACAATTTAATGGCTTTGAATGTGTTTATGAGTCTGCTCGGGAAAACTTCCAATGATACCTTCACTTTTGGAAATATTATACTATAACTTATTGTAAATTAAGATTAACTTAGCTTAGCCTAACTTTACTGTTATTACCTAGTTATTACAACAATTGTTAGTGGTTACTGCAATCTTTAAATCCTTTTTAATACAGAACTTAGATATTTAAATTAAAACTTAACTTTTCTCATTTCACTTTTAAATAAATTTAGACTTCTCTTCACAACATTTAACTTTTAAATAAATTTAAACTTAGCTTTTCACAACAGTTAACTTTTAAATAAATTTAAATTTATCTTTTCACTACAATTCACTTTTAAATAAATTTAAACTTAATTTACTTTGAAGAACTTAACATTTGGACTACTTGCTTTATATTCGCACCGCCTTGTTGTGTCGAATATATAAACCTTTTTCGCATTTTTGGAAATGTGTTTTTCGTTTTGCCAATATTAGGGTGAAGCATTTTTTAGAACTTCATTAGAGTCGGTGACGAAGGTGTCCAACCGCACCCTTTGGATATTGTTATCTTTATTGGATATTCAATTCCTAATGGATGTTGTTTTGGGTTTGTTTTGTACAGTTTTATAGCTCCATTAGAGTCGGTGACGAAGGTGTCCAACCGCACTCCTTGGAAATTGTTGTCTTTATTAGATATTCAATTCTTAATGGATGTTGTTTTGTGAGGTTTATTTTGTTGTTGTCTGGGGTTTGTTTTTAACAGTTTTATAGCTCCATTAGAGTCGGGGACGAAGGTGTCCAACCGCACTCCTTGGAAGTTGTTATCTTTGTTAGATGTTCTATTCCTAATGGTTGTGTGATTTTGTTTGTAGAGCTTTTGATTGTGTATTTGGTTTTCATAGTCCTTCTTTTGCGATTGGATTTTTGTATTCTTAGAGTCTGTAGATTTTGCGTAAAGTTTTTGTAGAGTCGATTTTGGAGTATTGTAGAGTTTTCGTGAAGTTTTTGTAGAGTCAATTTTGGAGTTTAGATATTTTCAGATCTTTTTGTTTGTTGTATATTCTGTCTGTTTTTTTTTGGAAGGTATGTAATGTAACGGTGCATTTTGCACCATTACAGAAAAGTTAATTATCGACGAGTTTTTAGTTTGACAGCTGGATTTTCTGACGTTTCAGTGAGCTCCGAGAGAAGGCGTCACGGATGAGATTTGTTGGTCTGTTCTAATCGACTATGGTATACTTTCGATTTTAGTCTTTTCTTGTTCTGGCAACATTTTTTGTCGCATTCTAGGGCGAAACGGTACTTTAGCTCTGGCAACATTGGTTGTTCACTTTTACCATTTTGGCTGGGTCGGAATAAGATGTTGGCCATTTTTGAAAATGTAATCCGTTCCCTTTTGTTGTAATCAGAGGATTAATTCACTTTTTATTGTTGGCCAGTCTTATTAAGGAAACGAGTTTATCATTAGAAATATTAGTTTGCTTTTTTTGGAATTATTAGTAATGCCTCTGATTTATTTGGGAAACGTTTTGGAACCCTGTGTAACAGGTTTTTTTTTTATTAGATTGTAATGTCCTTACGTTACAATTAGTTTTTTACCTCACTACCTGCCCGATCCAAGGATTTAGTTTTGCTTCGGAGTGTGGATTTCCTTTCTTAAGTACCTCTAATGGCAGGAAAAGCCCTTTGGCTGTAGCCCATTATTTGCTTGAGACCGGATCCAGGAACCTTGGAATACTTACCCCGCCACTATGACCACGTGGGAGCACGAGTGAGCCTTATAAGCCTTAATTATACCCTAAATTCAAACGGACAGAGCCAAAGTCATTGGTACGTTTTTTTGTTGTATTAATTTTGTCGGCGTTGTAATAACGGATACTGCAGGGTCTGAGGGGTGTTATTTTTATTATGGGAGTAGGTTGTTATGATAACTACCCTTAAATCTTTACTTATTTAACAGTCTTTATGTGACTTTTTAAAGATATTTTACTTTTAATTTGTATTACCAAGGTAAACAGATTGCATTAATGACAGTACTAATTTGAGTATAAGAATTACATTTGTAATTAGACCTATAATATACCATGTACCCTACAGATACTACGGGATAATAAACTGCCACTTAAGCTTAACATCACGTTCAGCTTTTGACGAACAACCTCCGCCTTCTAGTTCCTAAGACCGACTGTCTTGTCCTAGGCCTCAAGACCAACTGTCTCTTCCCTCGTCACTATCGTTCCAAAAGGGCTCCTACCTAAGGCCTTTCTCACGGTTATTCGTCTGCTGTCTCGCACATGTGCCTGTTTACATTGCTACGATGGACCCTTGGCGATCCCTTTTTTATAGTATTCGTTTTAGGTACAAAATAAGTCTTTTGTTCATAATGGGCCGTCATTCATTTCGCAATACTTGAGATCATAAAGTTTACTTTTTATTAGGTTCTGCTTTTTGTTCGTCTAGACCTTAAATGCACGTGTAGATAACTTTCTAACATTACTTGTCTAAAATAACATTTACATGAAGTTTTATAATTACGTGATTGTAGTACTATCACAACTGCAATATGTCACCGAAGCAGTCAACAAAATCCGTAACTCAGTAACTCAGCTCTTTGAATGATAGATTATTTCATCAGATTTGTGTTACCAATGACGAAGATTTCAACCGTTTGTTGTTTCATAGTGAAGTTCGTTGGCTATCAAGAGGCAATTAATTGACTCGATTTTACAACCTGTTTGACTCTGTATTATGTATGAATATAAAAAAAAGTGTCATGAAATTTGGAAAGAGTATTATAATCAGAATTCGAGAGAAAAGGGAATATGGTATAAGACTATAGTATCGGAGCCTCCTCATATACCATGGTTTTCCAACACAGGACTCAATAGAAAAATTACTGTAATCGCCCACAGGTTGAGATCTGGACACATTCCGCTCAATGGGTTTGGATTCTTGATGAAAAAACTGAATTCACCTAACTGTGAGGTTTGTGGTACTTTAGAGGATGTGACACACTTATTGACGGAGTGTGTCAGATTTCAATCTGAAAGGGAATATCTGATGAAAGAGTTAAAAATAAATAGTAATAATGTTGGTATGTTCCACCACATATTGTCTGCGCCGACTTCAAAAGCCGCCTCTAGCCTTTGTAAGTTCGTATCACTAAGGTTTGTTTAAATTTAATTAGATTGTAATGAAACAATCTGTATGAGGTACGATGGGACCGACATGTACGAATGTATAAAGTCCCTAAAAATAAATAAAGAGAAAAAAAAATAATACAAAAATTGGACTTTTGGTAGACATTTGAAATAAAAGGTGCGAATTTTGCGTTTTTTTTTCGTTTTTTGCTATAAAAAAAATCGAAATTTTGGAAATTTTTGATTGAAAATAGTTCATTCTATGTGTTTACATGTGTTGAGTGTGCCCTATAAATTTCAAGTCAGTCGGTCAAGCCGTTTTTGAGATACGATGGAGGAAAGTTTTGAAAAACACAGTTTTGAGAAAAACGCGTTTAAAGAGTCAAGTCCGTTTAAAACTATAAAAATCTCAACTTACCCTCAATCGGCGATGCCTGTTCCATAGAGTATTCCCTCCTCTTCCTCTTGAAACTCTTTTAAAGCAGATTGTTCAGCTCTTGAGTCAATCCTGGCTTGTTTAACGACATCACTTACGCGCCGCTCAGAACGTGAGATTCGCTTTTCATCACGTTTCTCAACATACGTATGGGCTTCGCGGCCAATGGGGCATCCCATAACCGACATTACTTCTAAAACACCTTCAAAACCTTCATTAAAGATGATAACTGATAAGTAGCTAGCAATTTCAACAATCTTGGGGCCAGAATTGTTATATTCCTAAAATGTGGGTGGTTGCATCCACCCCTAACATATAAAATGTCGTGTCGCTTGACAAATAAAGTGTTGTGCGAATCCAGCTATCGGCCTTTTCACTACTCCCTGTGCGCATACTTATCAGTGGCGACGAGTACCCGCGTTATAAAAAAAAATACGAAAAATGTCTCAGTTTGGTATTTTGTCCAGTTTTGACCACACTATTCATACATGGCAAAACTATAAACAGCGCATCTCTCAATGGTTCATCGCGAACGATATCGGCGATGTAACGGACTCGGCAGCAGTGAAAAGGCGGGCGATATTGCTGAGTGCACTCAGCGATGGCACTTATCAACTTGCGGCGGATTTGGCGTTACCGAAGGAGCTAACGCAAGCGCCATATGAAGACATTTTGGCACTTCTCGACAAGCATTTTACGCCGAAAAAATGTGGGTTTGGCGAGAGGTATAAATTTTATGCCGCTACCCAACATCTAGATGAAACGTATTCGCAGTGGGCTGCTAGGCTACGTGGGCTGACTACACATTGTGGGTTTCTAAACGTAGAGGAGGCACTCCGTGACCGGTTTGTTATGGGTATGCAACCGGGGCCGGAGAAAGATAAACTGTTTGCGCGCGACCTAGAGGAACTAACGCTGGTGAAAGCGGTGGAGCTGGCCGAGAGCGTGCGCAGCGCACGTCAGGGAGCAGCAGCATCTTCATCATCATCATTTCAAGCGTCGGCGCAGGGGCCGGTCGCGAGCGAGCCTCTTTTCAAGATCGCGACGGATAAATACGCGCGTAGTGAAACCAGTGGCGTAAAAAAAGATATGTGCCAAGTGTGCGGCTATAAAAATCATAAGACGGCTCAGTGTAGATTTAGTAATTATAAGTGTAAAAAGTGTAATGCAACGGGACATCTGCGCCGAATGTGCAAAAAGATTAACTTTGTAGGTACCGGCGAGTCGAACGAGAGTGACGATGACGGTAGGATAAATAAGATATGTTCGCATAAGGGTGAACCAATGACGGTGGTTATTTCAATTCGGGCCGTTAATCTAAAGTTTGAAATTGACACAGGGTCGGCGGTCACCGCGATTTCCGAATTAACGTATAAAAAATATTTCAAATCTATGCCATTATCGCTCGCGAGTGATCGATTGTTTACATATACGGGACGAGCAATTCACTGTCTCGGAATTATAAAACTGCCTTTTACGTATTCGGACAAGACACGTATTATTAGTGTGCGGGTAATACGTGAAGGTGGGCCGCCAATTGTGGGGCGTGATTTTATAAGTTTATTTAACTTGCAAATGTTACAAATTAATTTCACTCAGTCTGATAACATCGTTGAACAGTTAAAATCGCGTTACCCAACAGTTTTTTCAAACGATTTAGGCATGTTTACAAAATACCAAGTGCAATTACAATTAAAAGATGATGCTAAACCGGTATTTTTTAAACCTCGTCCTATTGCGTTTGCATTAAGAGATAAGGTAAACAGTGAGCTCGATCGTTTGATACGTTTAGGTGTGTTAAAACCGGTTCAACACTCGGAGTACGCATCGCCGATTGTGCCTATATTAAAGCGCGATGGCTCTGTCCGTTTGTGCGTTGACTATTCCGTAAGTGTAAATAAACAATTAATTATTGAACAGTACCCCTTGCCGACTGTTCGCGAATTGTTTACGAAACTACACGGGGGGCAGCAGTTTACCAAATTAGATTTAACACAAGCATATTCGCAGTTTGTTCTAGATGACGCGTCTCAAAAGATTACTTGTATAAATACTCACCGCGGGTTGTTCAAGTATACAAGGCTAGTGTTTGGTCTGGCTAGTGCTCCGGCTATTTTTCAACGGGCAATGGAGTGTTTGTTGTCTGGATCAGACGGAGTTATGTGTATGCTTGATGATATATGTATAACAGGAGAAACGAAAGCGCAGCATTTGGGTAGGCTTAATGCAGTTTTAAAAAGGTTACAAGACGCTGGGTTAACTTTACGTAAAGATAAATGTGTATTTTTTGCTGACCAAATAGAATATTTAGGCTATACTATTGACAAAAACGGATTGAGGAAATCTCAACAAAAAGTGAAGGCAATACTTGAAGCACCTATTCCAACAAACGTAAAAAAATTACAATCGCTTCTTGGTTTAGTCAATTATTACAGGAGTTTTGTACCGAACGCATCTTCAATTTTGAGTCCACTTTATTCTTTATTACAAAAGGATAGTAAATGGAAATGGGACACCTCACATGATGATGCATTTAATATTATTAAAAAATGTTTAGCTTCCGAACAGGTTCTTGCTCATTTTAATCAGAACGCAAAAATTATTTTAACGGTAGATGCCTCACCCAGCGGCTTGGGAGCGATTCTGTCACAAATAGGATCGGACGGGGTGGAACGTCGCGTGTCGTTCGCCTCACGGACACTGAATACTGCAGAAAAGCGGTATTCACAAATTCAAAAGGAGGCTACAGCAATTATATTCGGAGTGCGACGTTTCCACCAGTATTTATACGGGAGGGCAACACCGTTTATACTCCGTACAGATCACAAGCCCTTATTGTCTATTTTTGGTCCCCATCGTGGCGTTCCCGAGGTTTCAGCTAATAGGTTGCAGCGTTACGCGATGTTTCTGAGTGGATATAATTACACCATAGAATATATACGTAGCGCTGACAACAGCGCGGATTATTTGTCGCGCGCGAGCCTGCCCGATAACAACAACGATGATTCAGAGTTGAGGCGGGGTTACGGCCACGAGACTGGCGATAATGACAGTTTAGTGCCAATCGAAGATCGCGCTTCGTATGTTAACTTTGTTATAGATGGCAGTTTGCCTATAACGTTAAACGAAATACGCGAAGAAACTCTTAGGGACACAATATTATGCAAAGTTATTTCTTATATTACTAATGGATGGCCAAGGCGTTTATCAGATGTATCAATTAAACCTTATTTTCTTTGTAAGACTCAGTTATCGTATGAAAACGGTTGCGTTATGAGAGGGCACAAAATAGTTATCCCTATATCTATGAGAACTAAGTTATTATTTGAGCTTCATAAATCACATTTGGGTATTGTTAAAACGAAAGCAGAGGCGCGTAGCAGGTTTTGGTTTCCCGGAGTAGACAAAGCTATTGAAAATATGATTGCCGGCTGTGCGATTTGTTTACAATTACGACAGTCGCCCGCGCGTGCGCCGCTCGCGTTATGGCCCCACCCACCACAGCCGTTTTATAGAATACATATAGATTTCTTAGGGCCCATTCATAAGCGTTCTTATTTAGTAATAGTAGATGCGTACTCTAAGTGGGTGGAAGCGTATGATATGGGTACAAGTACGTCTACGTTATCAGTGATTAGCAAGTTATATGAATATATGGCGAGGTTTGGCCTGCCACACACTTTAGTTAGCGATAATGGCACGCAATTCACATCGCTAGAATTTAAATCATTTTGTCTATCTAATGGTATATCGCATGTGACGTCACCTGCTTATCACCCGGCTAGTAACGGGCAGGCAGAAAGTTACGTAAAGGTTGTTAAAAAGGGGATTAAATCGTGTATTTTAAGTAATGAAAATGTTAAATCTATACAACATAAATTGTGTAAATATCTGTTTGACGTGTTTGACGGTCCGTGTGGTGACGGATTAAGAATACGGAATGTCACCACCCCTGTTCATCCCGTGGGTGTCGTAAGAGACGACTAAGGGAGCAAACTGCGCAGGACAACAGCACTGGAAAGAGAAGGAAAACTTGAAACAAACCCTATACCAACCCGTCTGGCCAGCGCGGTATAGTAGGCCAAAACCTACTTTTTAAGGAGAGGCCTATGTCCAGCAGTGGACTGTTAAAGGCTGTTGATGATGATGATGATGATGATCTGTTTGATTATCGAAACTCCATACATTCCACCACGGGCTGTTCGCCTGCTCAGTTAGTATTTGGACATAAATTGCGGTCACGATTGGACATAATCAATACAATACAACCCTTGCCGGCGTCTGTCACTCTCGCTCGACGTGTCGAAAATAAACAGTGCTTACAGTCTAAAGCGTCTAATACAAAGCGAAAACGTTGTTTTGAATCGGGGGACCATGTTTTATATAAAACATATAACAATAATAAACAACGATTCTGGAACAAAGGGGTTATTGTGAAACGAATTGGTAAAGTTATTTACATTGTTAAAGACAGTTTAACTTCTTGTAACTTTAAAAAACATCAAAACCAATTAATACCCTTCAAGGGTAAGGGTAGCAACCTTCATCAGTCGAGTAACTGTCCTATTGATTTCGAAGACATCTCCCCGAAAGAAGCTTCGTCACCGCAGTCTACGACCCCAGCACTGGTTGAGGTTGCGTCCAATACAGAGGGGGAAGGAAGAGAAGGATTAGTGGAAAAGGAAACACAAGCCAGTAACTCGACAGAAGACGAAGAATTCTATGAGGCTATCGAATCAAAGGATGATAAAGTCTCACTAGAGTCATCTTCAGGTCACCAGCCACCGCAGCCGGATAGGTTAACCAATTGTGGCAAGATATTGCGACCTGTACCTAGGGTGGATTATAAAAGATATTTTTAAATGTTTATTTAATATAAGTTTTATTTTAATATTATGTATTGTCAAGCTAGAGGGAGGAATGTTATATTCCTAAAATGTGGGTGGTTGCATCCACCCCTAACATATAAAATGTCGTGTCGCTTGACAAATAAAGTGTTGTGCGAATCCAGCTATCGGCCTTTTCACTACTCCCTGTGCGCATACTTATCAGAATGAACATGCTTAGGAGCAAAAGTTCAAATAAACGAATTCGAAGATTCGTTATTGTTTTGTGTCTCTGCTCCTATACAACGAATTAATAATTCGTCTTTCGATAAATCTTCGAAAACCGGTTTGATAGCTACTTGTACTTGTGATATTAGATGTGGTTTATCGTGATGAAATTGGTCGAGCTCATTCTTAGCTTCTGCCTTACGCCATTTACAACTACTGTCTTCGCCTTCTGGACAAAATTGATGTTGAGGGTTTTTATCTGAAGAACATTTGTGATAATACGTTGCCCAAACTTCCTTTTTCATATCTTCAAGCGAATCTGGATGACGTCGAATAGCTAATCCGTAGAATTTCGTTGTTTCTTGAATAACTTTATCAGTAAGTTTACCTGGTCCTTTTCCACCGATTCCTTTATTTGTTTTATCCTTTTTAACAGCCCGAAGTCGTGTTCCCATTCTCTTTTCTACGTGGCCCACACATTATTTTTTTGTTACAACAGTATCTCCATACGGTTTAGCATCTAGGATCCCCTTGTAAGTTTTACTGTCACCATCGCCGATGTACTGGGTCTACCAATAGGGATGACCTGGTTTTGACAGCTCATAGCGGCCATGTTTGATGATGGATCTTTGACGTCTCTTGATATTTGTGTTCAGTAAGGTTTGCCATTTTTCCACGCAATAATTCCATGTTCACTCGAGTAATGTGAGTTGGTGCACCGTCTTATTGAAAATAAAGGTCGTCTGCATCAATATCATGAAATTCCGGAAAGAAATATTCGGTTAACATCGAGTTATAGCGCTCGCCATTCACAGTAACAGGGTTTCCTTCGTCACTTTCAAAGAAGTACGGACCAATGATTCCACCGTACCATAAACCGCACCAAACTGTTATTTTTTGCGGATGCAATGGTGATTCATAAACCACACGTGGATTTGACTCACTCTGACTAATAATTTTGAACAATTTCCAAGCGTTGGTTTAAAGTGAAACGTGACATGATAAAATGGCAAAACTTAATGAACACAAATATCAAGAGACGTCAAAGATCCATCATCAAACATGGCCGCTATGAGCTGTCAAAACCAGGTCATCCCTATTGGTAGACCCAGTACATCGACAAGAAAATATAAAAGATGTGGTCAATACAGTTGCAAAGAAACTATCGCTGGATCCAAACGAGATTGAAGAAGTTAAGAGGGTAGGTCTGGAAAAAGGCGCGGATAATCAGCATCGTACTCAGCCTGTGATAATAAAGCTACGAAGCACATCAGTGAGAGAACAATGGCTTAAGATGCGAAAGCGACAAATAACTAACGATTTTGTATACGCGAATAAGAATATCAATAAGAAGAACGAAGACCTCTCTAAGTACTTCAGACAATTATTCTGGATAGCTAAAAAAGAGCTCAAAGAATCCTATCAATTTATATGGATACAGAACTCGAGAATTTTGGTTAAAGCTAATGAAAGTACAAAAAAAATACACAGTATTAAATGTGAGAATGATGTCCGACGGTTATTATCAAGCTCCAGCGAGTAAATGTAAGCCCGTAGCACACTAAGTGATTCCTTAACGCATAAAATTCGATCGTTTTCAAGTAGATGATAAAGACTATGTGTATATGAGGTATGAGTCTATGAAAGATTGGAGCGAATATATTACTAGTAAAGACAGTAAGGAGATAGACGTTGTACATATAAACATAAGATCATTAAAAAAACAGTTCAACCAATTATTGGTACTATTAAAAGCATGTAAGCAAAAATTAGATGTTATAATATTAACAGAAATAAATGTGAAAAAGGTAGAAATTGCATTATTCAAAATAGATGGATATAGTGCACATGAATATACAAGACAAAATAAAAGGGGTGGGAAATCTTGATTTATATAAGAAATGATCTTAATTACCTAAAACAAAAAACATATAACCTGGAATTGGAAATAATATATGACAAAATTATGTTACATAAGAGTGCATTGCACTTGATTGCATTATATAGACCCCCAAGTAAAAATAAAATAGAATTCGTTAAATACTTGGACTGGCTGCTGGAGGGTATACCAAAACAAGAAGAGGTTATCGTCATTGGCGATATGAATATCGATTTAATGAATGAGAAACAGAATGTTATATCGAGCAATTATAAAACCACCTTGTGTGGTCATGGCCTGCAGATGACCATACCGACTACGACGATAACGAGAGAAGCTATAGTCGACGGGCAGATACAGACGTCATGCATCGACCACGTGTGGGCGAGACTTAGCGACGGCGAATCGGGAGTGATCAGATGTGTGTCTACACACACATTTGAATGCACCTTATCGAACCACCATATGACCGGTATTAGACTTATGTGTGAGCCGTACGTATTGCAATCTAGTAAAAGAATTTCAAAGCGGACCGTGTTAAATAAAAAGTTAGTTATTGATAAGCTTACGAATGTTGTGTGGCAAGACGTCTTGCAGATTAACTGTCCTATTTTAATGTATAATGAACTGTGCCGTGTTTTTCGCAGTATTTATTCGGAATATACGCTTTCAGAAACACGACAAAATAAAAGAATACCGCAACCGTGGGTAAGTAAACAAATAATGTTGCATATAGATAAGAAAAATTAGTTATTTAGAGCATGGAAAGAAGAGCCGTCTAATATGAATCGGAGGTTAGAGTATACGAAATATCGAAATAAAGTAAACAAAATGATAGATGCTGCGAAAAACAGGTACAGGAGAAGTAAATTAAGTAAATGTAATGGGGACTATAAAAAAATATGGGCTAATATAAATCTGTGGACTTGTAAAAATATGTCAACAATAGATAGTACAATAAATAAATACTTAGGTAAAACAGATAACATGTATAACATATGCACTAAATTTTCTAACACGTTTACTCAAGAAATAGAGAAAATTAAACATAATTATTCTGATAAGTTTTTAGACAGAAGTGGCTATGTTAATAGAAGTTTAAGTTCCTTCCGATTTAAAAAAGTTACCTCAGAAGATGTTGAAAAAATTATAAAAAAATTAAGTTGTGACAAGGCACCGGGAAAGGATCAAATAAGGGTAGTGGATTTGAAATGTATAATCAAACAAATGAGTAGAATTCTTGCAAAATTTATTAATATGTGTATAACACATGGTATATATCCTGATGAACTGAAACAAGGGTTGATTAGACCTATCTATAAACAAGGATGCCATCTCGACTATACTAACTATAGACCTGTAGCTATTTTATCAGTGATAAATAAAATTGTAGAAAAAAGTGTAGTATCACAAATCAGCGATTATTTAGAGGCAAACAATGTTTTAGACGACTGCCAGCACGGATTTAGAAGAGGACGGAGCACTGGTACCGTTCTAATACAGTTTACAGATTTTATCAATGGAAAGCTTAATGATAACAATCAAATTCTAGCTCTGTTTATAGATTTAAAAAAAGCATTTGATACACTAGATCATAATCAGCTATTACAAGCCATGGATGAGTGCGGTATCAGTGGTCCGACAAACAGATTCTTCGCTGATTACTTGCGAAACAGGACGCTCTGTACAGTTGTCGACGGAACAACAGGCGCAGATGCGGCCATCACAATGGGTGTGCCCACCGGCTCAGTATATGCTCCTATTGGTTACATAATGCATGTCAATAGCATGGTCAATGTCGTGGAACATTGCGGGGTGTACATGTATGCTGATGACACTTGTATGATAATCTCAGGTAAAAATTTACAACACATGATAGTGCAATTGCAAAATGACTTTGATAGAATAACAAAATGGGCTCATGATAATGGGGTTATACTTAACACCAATAAAACTAAAATCATGCATATATGTACACCTTACAATAGAGTCACGAGAGGAGGGGCTAATATACGTATCATAGGACACACATATGACTGTTTACATAAAAACCAGAGCTGTCAGTGTAAGGAATGGGAATTAGTTACCACCATTAAGTACTTGGGGTTGATAATACATAAGAGATTTAGCTGGAGACCACACATAGAATTGGTATGTAATAGATTAAGGTCAGTTCTAAGTAAATTTTACATCCTCAAAAGAATATTAGACCGACGTACTTTGTTTATGGTGTACTATGCACTAGCGGATTCAATTATTAGTTATGGGCTAAGCTGTTACGGACTAACATTTAAAACGTATATAGAGGAAATTAAAAAGATACAGTTAAGATTTTAAAAAATAATAGTAGATAAAAGAATTAGGAAAAAGCACAAAGATGACTATAATAAGTTATTTTCCGAATGTGCCATCATGCCAGTCAATGAAAAAGTTAAATATTTAATAGCATTAGAATCATATCATAGTGAAGAGTATAAGATAAAGAAAAAATATCATTACAGTGTCAGAGTAATAAAGAAATGAAAATAAGGGCAGTTAAAAGTAAATAATTATTATGGGGAAAGGACCAGGAAGTATGTAGTACCAAAGTATTATGTAATGAATATCAAATACTAAGGGAGGACAAGAAAATAAAATGTAAGTTTAAACTAAAACTAAGACTAAAAGAAATGTTTGGATATGGCAATAGATTAAAACGCGTACATAAATAGGGAAGCAGGTACCCAGGAAATAGTCAGGTTACACATATTTATGTATTGTTTGTCTTGAAATTATTTTGTTTGTTGAGTTAGTACACCGTTGTAGGAGTAATTTAAAAACTAGCATTTAAGTACTTAGGTTATTATAAATTGAGCGGAACGCCTACAAACTGTTAGAACAGTTTGGCGAATCGAGAACTTGTAAACAAATGTAAATAAAGTGTGATTAAAGTTTATAATAATAATCGGCGATGGTGACAGTAAAACTTACAAGGGGATCCTAGATGCTAAACCGTATGGAGATACTGTAGTAACAAAAAAATAATGTGTGGGCCACGTAGAAAAAAGAATGGGAACACGACTTCGGGCTGTTAATAAGGATAAAACAAATAAAGGAATCGGTGGAAAAGGACCAGGTAAACTTACTGATAAAGTTATTCAAGAAACAACGAAATTCTACGGATTAGCTATTCGACGTCATCCAGATTCGCTTGAAGATATGAAAAAGGAAGTTTGGGCAACGTATTATCACAAATGTTCTTCAGATAAAAACCCTCAACACCACTTTTGTCCAGAAGGCAAAGACAGTAGTTGTAAATGGCGTAAGGCAGAAGCTAAGAATGAGCTCGACCAATTTCATCACGATAAACCACATCTAATACCACAAGTACAAGTAGCTATCAAACCAGTTTTCGAAGATTTATCGAAAGACGAATTATTAATTCGTTGTTTAGGATCAGAGACACAAAACAATAACGAATCTTTGAATTCGTTAGAAGTAATGTCGGTTATGGGATGCCCCATTGGCCGCGAAGCCCTTATGTATGTTGAGAAACGTGATGAAAAGCGAATCTCACGTTCTGAGCGGCGCGTAAGTGATGTCGTTAAACAAGCCAGTATTGACTCAAGAGCTGAACAATCTGCTTGAAAAGAGTTTCAAGAGGAAGAGGAGGGAATACTCTATGGACCAGGCATCGCTGATTGAGGGTAAGTTTAGATTTTTATAGTTTTAAACGGACTTGAAACTTTAAACGCGTTTTTCTCAAAACTGTGTTTTTCAAAACTTTCCTCCATCGTATCTCAAAAACGGCTTGACCGAATGACTTGAAATTTATAGGGCACACTCAACACATGTAAACACATAGAATGAACTATTTTCAATCAAAAATTAAAAAAAAAATCGATTTTTTTATAGCAAAAAACAAAAAAAAAACGCAAAATTCGCAACTTTTATTTCAAATGTCTACCGAAAGTCCAATTTTTTGTATATTCATTTGATAATAGTCCATTCCGTGCATTTAGGCTTACATATTAAAACGCCGTATTTTTTTTTGATTTAGATGAGCTAATCAGCCGGAATCGTGTAGGAAGTGCGAGCTCATTTTTTCGAGGCAAGGGTGTTCAGAACGCTGTAACTCAAGTTCTACACAATATTATTAGCTTAAAATTTATATTTATACTGTCGAAATATATGTTAATAAATGAAAATAAACTTAAAGCTCTATCTATTTACTGGTCGTAGAAAAAAACCCCTAAAAACAGGCCGTCACATGGGATGACCCCCTTAAAAACATTCATTCCCTTATTTCTTCGTACTGTTCACAAGGTACAATAAACTAAGACTTGGTCATCATTCTGTGTCGAAGGCGCTTACAATGGGATGTTCTCAGGGATCAGATATCGGCTTCAACAATTTTCTTGCGATACCAATACCATCCGGATGTACTCTGAATGCGTATGCTGATGACGGCTTATAAATAATTTTAAATGGCTTACTAATAATTTTAAAACCTAAGCCACGGAGACTTGATTGCGAAATAGACATATCACTTTTACAAGTTTTACATATTACCATTTCAGAAATTGCAGCGAATACAGAAACAAGCTCCGAAATGCAATACGCGAAATTCAAAGCGATGAGAACCTCCATGTTCATGCTATTTTGAGGTTTTTTTCGCCGAAGCTGATGTAAATGCCGTTTCATTTTGGGTGGTAAAACGGTTTTCACTAAAATTTCTTTTTTTACTACGACCAGGATGAACATTTCCACTCGTACTTCCTTTCCGTCCACTCATTATGAACAAAAAAATTGTAGTTGTTGCTCTCTTCGAAGTTTAACCAAGACTAAAATAACTTCGGTAAAATATTTAATAACTATAGAAATTTCTGTTTAAGCCTGTAGAAACTTGTCTAAACGAATATATGTATAAAAGGGGGTCTAGGTATAAAGCCGACGGTACACAATAGGCCCGGACCCCAACCACGGTACTATTATAATACAGTACTGCAACTTCATACAAACGGACGAAACGGGAGCTATACCTACGCGCCTCGATCTCGGGGTGCGCTCGGGGCGCAGACAGTCACGGCTGTACCGCAGTGTCGAACGGACTGCGTGTTGTTTTTTTAACAATAACCGCGCGATTTTTTCTCTAAAAATCAGTTAATATGACGAGTAGGAAATATTGTGCTGTTTTTGGTTGTATGAATTCGTCAATAACGCATCCAGACATAAGTTTTTTTAAATTACCTGGAAACTCTGAAAAGTAAGACTATAAAATAATTTTACTTACTAGTACGTAGGTACATAATGTGGGTCTTTTTAATGGATAAGTATTTCCTTTTATCTCACGAAAAAAAAGGTGTTTGGATGAATAAATAAAGCAAATAGAGTAACGGAAAGTTATTGAGACGAGTGAAATAGGGAGTTACATGCGGTTCTGAATGAATCATGATACGGTAGGTACCTACCTACTTACGCTTGTGTTAAAACTTCGGTGCATGTTTGTTTTGTTACTTTGCATAATTCAAAAAAAAGAAAATTCTCCTTAAAGACGTGGTATTTTATTATTAATAATATATCTTTATTATCTGTGTGTATGAATGATACTAAAAAAAATTTGTTACCGTCTGTGTGTCATTAGACAGTTTTCGAAATTTTCACAAAGTGTTTCTGCTGCTACTATAACAACATATACCACTAAAAACTGGTTTTATTTTCTCGGTATTAACAACAACAGCTAGACTCATATATAATATTTAGATGTTTGAGGGTTGTGATTTTAAAACATTCGTAGTCAGCTGTTCAGCTTTTTAATAATTAATTAATTGGTGACCAAAGAATTTTTGTTTTGAGTTGTTGGGAGTTGTAGGTTATAGGTTAGGTAATTTATAGAGACGTTAATTAGCTGAGATAAAAAGTTACTTACTCGTCAGCTGTTTCTTGCATTCTAGTTGAGTAGGTGGTAGGTGTTGGAGTTTCTAAGGATTGGAGTTTTGTAACGCGTATGGAGAAAGCACATTTATTTTATTTTATAGAAGGATTTTTTTCGGTCGCTAATTTATAAGCCCGATTGGTTTTTCAAACAAAAAAATGTTTTTTTATTAAATCTACCAATCAAAAAACAACACGCATTTTTATTGAACAATTCCTATTCAATTTACAAAGTATTTAATTTATTTATATAAAAAGGATATTTACAATCACAAATCTAAATAGAAACAGAAAGTAGGCAAATATAATTAAAATGCTGGAGACGGGCAGCCCTAACGCATGTTTAAGTACCGCGCGGCTGTAGGCATTTATTTCTATCATGCGGCCGAGTTACAATACTGTATTATAATTGTACCGTGCCCCAACTGCCAACTCAGCGCTCCGAACAGCTCTTTCTTCTACCTGCTGTATCTTTAAAACGACTTCGAATTTTCAAAAATCACTTTACCACCGTATTCTAGACATGTTAAGAAAGCAATTTATGACAAAAATAAAAAACGAATTTTTGAGTCCATCACATGGGATGACCCCCTTTAAGCACCCCCGTGATTTAATTTTCATCAACAGCATGGGCCACCGTGCGTTGTCGAAGGCGCCAGATATATCTAAGAAAGTAGCCAGCACGTATTGAAATTTTGACTCTGTGACAAACTTTCTAACCGATATAACAGCGTCAGTTGTCGATTTCCCCAAAGTAAATCCAAATTGTCTAGCTTAAAATTTGACTCCACCTGGCAGAAGCCGGGGCACTACAAGACGTTCTAAAAGCTTTCCTAACGATGGTAACAATGTGATTGGTCGGTAGGATTTAGGATCATCCGGTGGCTTGTTGCCACTTTTTTGTATTATACGAATATTGCCGCACCGCCATATACGAGGAAATATTCCTTTCGCAATGCAACGTTTAAAGACAGTGAAAATTGTGTTACCCGAAAGTTTACAAGCTTCTTTTATCATTTTGTTAGACATTTTATCATCGTCCGAAGCCTTGTTTTAGCGACAAGGATCTAATGATACTGAGAAATTCGTCTGAAGATGGTAAATCAGACATTGGAGACAGTGGTGGTTCGATGGCCCACTGCCTGATCTGTCGGTAATGACCAGTGTCGTTTTCCGGCCGATCGTCAGGTACGAGTGATTCTAAAAGATGTTCTGCTGTTTGTTCTACTCCTGTGGTATATCTGTCTGATTAATTTTGATGTTCTGTATGTATGCAAGGTCGATTGATCTATTCGCCTTAAATTCGTGATACAAAGGTGACCACGAGCCCTCTCTACCGAGTTTATCAATAAGTTTCTGAATTAAGTTTCCCTTGGATTTTTCCACAGCAGCTCTGTAGTGGGTCCTGGCAACTCTGAGAGCAATGAGAGCATTATTGTACAAATCTCCTGTTAAATTATGTTTTTTAATCTTATTTAAATTTTAGTCTTAAAATCTGGTGTGTATCTGGACAAGCTCGCGTTTCATGTGCGCCAGCGCAATTAGCACAAGTAGGGGTTTTAATGGTGCAAAACTTTTGTACATGACCGAATTGCTGACAATTTAAGCAACGAACTACTTCTATATCGTGTATGAATCTAAAAGTGGCCCTGTCTATATAAAGTTTATTTTGTGTTGGCTAGATGTTTCCGAACTGCTGCCTCTAATTCTAAGCCTATCCAGTTGCGTCGCACCGGCCCGCTATCTACCCACACGTATCAAGTACACATAAATATTGTTCTGTGAGTACTGCTTCTATTCACTATCCGTTATAATGCCTCGAATGATACGCTCACCGCCCCACTCTCCCGGTAAAGACAAGCAGCGAGTAATGTCATCACCGGACGTGTCTACCTTAGATAATGAGTCTGCCCCAATGAACGTTAAAACTCGAAAAAAACGTTTTCGACCGGATTTCTCCCCGGACCAAAGTCATACCGAGTTCTAAGTTTTTGAGGACAAGGTCATGAACTTATTAAAATCATGGAAAAAGGAGCAGGATGACGTGTTAAACAATTTGACATCCGATATAAACGAAATTAAGTTGCAAAATAAGGAAATACAGAAATCTAATATAGAAATAGAGAGGGCAATCGAATATATTAACCAATCCTATGAGAGTATTAAAAAGACAGTAGAATCATTAGAAAAGGAGAGACAAGAACAACGTATTTATGTAATGGAACTGGAGAAAAAGATATCGGACTTACAACAATTGTCAAGATCAGCCACCCTTGAAATAAGAAACATTCATAGGTGGTGGTTATGTTTTAAAGAAACACTTATTATAAGACTGACTTTTATAAAGCTAATTCAGAGGACTCGCTAAGCGCGGCCATGACCAAGAATGGCCAGCAAATCACACTGTTGCCACATATCTTACATCTTCCCTTTTAAGAACAAATCGAAGAGTCCAAGGCTTGAGGCAATTATACGAAAAATATTTATTTATTTTTACCTAATTATTTTTTAGTAAATTTATTTTTATTTATTTAATTTATTGTGCAAGCCGTGGAAACTGTACAAATCGATTAATTGAACGCAGCTTGTCAAACATGACAGCTATTAAACGTCATTTGAATTTGACATTCTAAATAACCCGCAAAGATATAGTTATACAAATCCAAGTTCAGGTTATGAAGTTAACATGGAAAATATATGAAAACTATACAACT